CACATGTTTACCCTTGACCCCCTTCTCATATAAATGAAATGGCCTGATGAGAATTTATCGAAAGCTTACATATGCTCGCCAACTGCTCTTCTCAATTCTCTGATGGGGATTTTTACAACGTTAAAACAGTTCAAAGACTTAATTTAGTAAGGAAGCAAATGACGGACCAGTTTCTGTCTTTTCCCTTCTCATAGTGCACAATGAGTAGGGTCAAGCATTGGCTTATTTCCACCAACAGGTGTATAGAAAAATAAAGTAACGGTTCAATTTAGGTCTCCAGGCCGCTTATTTGCGCGCGATAAATAAAATGAGTCAATAGTGCTCAATTGAACACAATTGTCGAGTCTATGTGATCTTTGTGTAATCTCTATATTACTTCTATGTCATCTCTGTTACGTAATACAGAAGGATGGGGTTTTCGCGTGCTAGTTGGTGACCTAAGCTGAACTGTTACCAACTAACAAAAATAAGTCACCCAATGTTTCCTCTGGAAAATGAAAATATTACTGTACGCGAAATAACTGCTGATAGTTTTGACTCTATTCGAGGAATATATGAAACATGTGTACGCTGTAGGTTTATGCCCGTCCATCTACTGTTTACTACTTCTGTCGCTGTTATCTCGGAAGATGGGCTCTAGTACAAGTGTTGAAAGCCCAGGATCATAAACAGGGCGTTCCCATGCTCGACCAGTCTTTTTCTTTATGCATTCAAACATCTGGAAGTCGAACGTTCGTACTTATATGTGGATACCACACTCGCTGTCTGTTGGCAATTTGCGAAGATTGTGCGGTCATCCCGCCGAAGCTGGTGGATTTCGGCTTATAAAGCTCCATTTCGGACCATCAAGCACATTTCTTTCTAAGGTTAAAAAAACTGAAATTTCCAAACTAAAGTACCTACTAGAGGGTATACGGGGAACGCTGGGAGACCCACTGATGAGCCTACCTCCTTGCATATGTGTCAGGTAGCGGTAAAATAGCGTCGAAACACATGTAGGAGCATTTAGATAGTACCTGTGAGGTCAGTATGATAAATCATACAACATGGTTATCGGTATTCGCATCTTAAATGCATACTTAGTTTTCAAGTCATTTATTAAGGTGTGACGTACACCTACGGAACTGTCTGTGTTTCCTAACAAAGTATTGTTGTAAGGTAGTTTAGTAATATTTTAAATAAATTATTATCGCTGAGCAAGGAGTTTTC